GGCATATGCGTGCGCCATCAGGTGCGGGAGCAACAGTTAAAAGGGTAGTGCTCGTACCCCCAAAGTTTGCCAGCCAACAGCAAAGGGAGGGCCTGTTACAAGCCCAAAATAGCCGTTATGCTTCAAAAGCCTTTACGATCAATGGGTAGCAGACTTTGATTCAGTTGTTCTGTTTACTTGTCCTACGGGTGCGACGGCAGTCTTGACGAGCCGAGCTGTATGCCCCGACATGCATTCTTGCTGACTCGGAATGGGTGCGATGTTTGATACGTACGGCTTGGCAAACGGCGTTAACGAACCTGTCGATATGATTGGACTAGACGGCGGTTTTCGCCCCATGTAGACAGTTGCATGTCATGACAGACACCCCCTTCTCATCGAGGTGTAGCTGTGGTACAGCATCAGAGTGCAGTCCACAAAAAATGATGCTTCATGCGCTGCATTGATTCCTTTTGCGCAAAGGGCGTGTGGGAAAGCGGGGAAGTGGGAGCACTCCCTGGCGCTAATGGACGAGATGCGCTCGAGCGGGGTAGAGCCCGGCGAGGGCTGTAACGTGATGGCGCTTAAGGCGTGCGCCGATGCCGGGCTCTGGGAAAAGACTCTCGGGATGCTCGAAGACATGAGGGCTTCGGGCGTCAACCGGTCTGAGAGGTGTGTGTCGAGCGTCAACGGTTTGGAGCGGAGGGACAAATTTGCTGTCATGTAGTATGACCACGTGCGGATGAATCTTGAGATATCCGGATGAGGTCGCTGGGAGAACAAGGGAATTCGAAGCAGTTAGTTCTACAGGCGAAATATCGGAAAAGCTTATCTGCTACCGTCACGAAGGGCTCCAGAAAAATGTTCGGATAGCGAGGCATGGTTTATTTTCGTAGTTGTCTTGAGGGCAGAAACGTATCGTGATTCATGTCTTGGCGCAGGCATCCTCGACATTTGTGTCGGGCGCGGACGGGATATTGGTAGAACCGAATCGATAGGCCATCCCCCCCGCTACGGAGAAATGGACGCCTGCAATACCCATTGCCGTGCGAGAGCACGCCACAGCGCAAAGAGTATCGCTGCATCGATAGCATACGATTTGGTCACAAACAACGCAATGACTTCATTCTATGTACTTGTCACACCATTGGACTCTTGGCAGCACGTTCGTGGTGGCGATGAAGGCCTGCGGCGACGCCGGTCGGTGGGAAGAGGCGTTGGCTGTGATGGACGACATGCGCAGAGATGGCATACCACCAATGGAAACGACCTACACCACCGCGGTGAGGATAACCCCCCGTCGTAATAGCTAGCGTGCTGAGTTGTTTTCGACTGCTGCATATACCATGCCGCTCATTCGCTTGGTTACGTGTGAGCTAAATCTGAGTGATCGGTCTCTCTGCAGAGTGATGTGATGACCTAGATGGAAATGGATCCAAAGCCCAATGAATGGATGATGAAACTCGTTCGCCCCACCGTTTTCGTACACATCGTTTCGTCGGCACTCCATCGGTGGGATGGATGCCCACCATATACTCGTAAGTCTTTCGATACATGCGTGCTTGCATGTCTGATACCTTCCACAGCTCTCCTGCATGGACGTTGAAATGCTCTGGTGTATCATGTGCACCCCCTCCCGCCCTTAGTTCCAACGCCTTGATTACGTGCACCCAGATGAAGGCTTGCGGGAACGTTGGCAAGTGGGAGCAGGCGCTGAAGCTGTTCGATGAAATGAAAGGCATCGGCATCGCACCAACTGAGCAATGCTATACGGCCGCCATCAGGGCGTGCGCAAAGGCTGACAAGGCAAGGATCGTCCCTGCCCTCCCCGCTTATGCGTTCCCCCTCCCAGTAAACTCTTGAAAACTGTCCACAAGAATTTTCCCTTCTGTATTGCCTATGGTTGTCCCATCTTCGGTTCTTAGTCCGGTGCTTCTCACGTGTGGTTTCCGAGTACTTTCTATTTTGTACCCCACTTCTGTGGCAGGTATTGTTCGTGCTCTCTTCATGCCTTGAAGAATGTTAAACACAATCTGCCCCCAAACGGGCTGTTGTTTACTACTGGGACTTCTGGTTCCAGAAAATGACTGACCGTCGCGATCACCACTTTTGCTTTGTTTTTGCTCTCTCGTCATTTTCTGGGTTCCCCTACAGGTAGAGAAGGCGTCATCGCTCCTGCTCCAGATGTGTTCATCACCGGGAGTTTCGACGAATATGTCGAGCTTCCGAGCGGTGATGGGTGCGTACTGCAGGATAGGAGACTGGGCGTCGGCGCTGCGGTTTCTAGAAGACGCTCGAAGGTACCAGCTCAAGCCCAACACTGCCGACCTTCGCACCATGGTGGAGGTGAGTTGTTGGCGGGCTGAAGCTACACAATATTTGAACTTCAAGGGGGGGGGGGGGGGGGGGGGGGGGGGGGGGGGGGGGGGGGGGTTT